TGAGCCATTGGCCTTTCAGAGGGACCTGGTTGATACTTGCATTGGATGACACCAATACAAGCCATTGGCCTTTCAGAGGGACCTGGTTGATACTTGCATTGGATGACACCAATACAAGCCATTGGCCTTTCAAAGAGTACTAAGGTACTAGTAGAATTATTTCTAAGTTAGGTTGAATATAACTATGCATTCTTTTATTCTTCTGCTAGCAATTTTACTGTATTTGCATGAATTTTATGTGAACAAATATTTCTTTTAAAATATACTAAGATTTTCACATACATGTTCATGTACATGTCAATATAATACACACTGAGCAAACACGTTTCAGTAATAAGCCTTCATAAATAACACCAAGGCCCATCATTTCAGCATCACTGTCAACACATGCTGTGTGGGACAGACAGGTGCACCACTGGTTTATAGTTGTGATATGAAATGCAGTCTATGATAACATGCAGTGCAAATATATGGCAAATAATATGTTAACCCTATTAACCTAACAAGCCATGAGTCATTCGTCCATGTTCAAACAGATGATGGAGTAATCATGATGAAGAGTAATCTTGACTGATAATCTCATTCTCTACAGCATACCTGTGTACTGGAATGACCATGTGACCACACAAAGTACGATAGCCGGGGTTAAATATAGTTCAACACTAAATTTATTCATTCTACTGTTGATTGTATTAATTAACTAATTAAAACAATAACTCTCCATCCACATCAATTCAGATTTTCTATTTGAAACTTTATTTGCCATTTTTTTTTCATTTCAAAGTATACAAAAATATAAAAACAATACTGTATACTGTGCATACGAAGATTATAAACGCAAGTTTTACTAAATGAATAATAAACCAGCATTACATTACTGCCAATTAATCACAAACGAAACATTAAAACTTGAATGCAGAGTATAAGTACAATGTAGGTATTCGACCAGCAAAATTAAATGGTTCAACATAACTTTTTTATTTGAAAACTCCATAAACTCATTATGATTTTAATACTCCCAGAAAATCAAAGCATATTTATCTTGTGTAAATCTACATATGAAAACAACTACACAGTTATATATTTCAGCTTGTAATTAAATTGTCATTTTTAATCTACGTAGATTTAGGGTGTGATTTATAAGGAAAATGTGATTTCAATGATTAATGGTGTTGCTTTAACCCTTGTTTGCATATTACTTTCCGGATAACACTAAGAGCTACATGTAGTTAATGTAGTCAGCAAGTAAAATTGGCCAGTGCATTAGAGTAATAGCTGTTCATCTATTACTGAATCTAATGTGCTACTTACATGTATCTGGCAATTCAATTTTAAAATATTTGAATTATTTATCCCTGAATGTTATAATAATTATAATTTTTCTCTCCCAAATTATGAGAAAACAGTTTTCACATATTTAGTTACCTTTTTCAATATTTTTGGTGATTTTAGAGAACATGGAAATGTTTTCCCGATGAATCGTTTTGAAAAAATAGGATAACACATTATGCAGGATTATTTTTATTTTTTTGGTGACATAAGTTGACCTTTGTGTTCAAAGGTTTAAATCAATAAATTTTCATAAAAAACATGAATGTTAATTCAAAAGTAAAATTTATCAATATTATTTAACTAATTGTGTGAATGCTACAAGGTTGTCGCCAGGACAACCGTTAGTATGCCAACACTTTTGAGTGTAATGATAATCATTCATAAACATAAATCGTCAAAAAAAAAAAAAAAAAATCAACACAGCTGCATGCCTGGGTTGACATTCCAAGCAACATTAATGACAAATCTTCAGTTTAGAAAAATGGTTTAAATTTATAAAATATCTCAGATGTTTAAAGTTTTGATTAATAGAAGAAAACAATGCTTTATCTTTTTTGTTATTTTTCACCTGAAAATTGAATTATTGCAATGTTTTAATTTGTTTTGTTAATACTAAAATTTGTTAATTTATCAATTATTTTTTCAGTCGTTTTTTTTAGTCCGTTTCTACTTTATATTATATTTATTAAATATGAGAAATTGTTTTGATATCAACTGAGAGGTTATTTAGTTTCTAACTGTACATTATGAAAGATCATAATTATAAAATATTATTTCTGTTCTTTTTTAGAAAATTTTGATTTTTAGAAGAAAAAAAATTACATTTTCATGAAGTCAAAACAGTAAGCATGTTATGACAATAAAAAAAAATACATTGACCAGTAACTTTTTTCTGGGCCTTTTGGAATTTTATTGAAATTCCTGTAAATACATTAATTATTCACTGGATTTTAATTGTCATATACATGAGCACATGTGCCTTTAGTAGAACAAATACGGTATGCTGAAATCTTCTACAAAAACTTTACTTTACATTGTACAGGAGTTGTTAAGGCTGGTCACAAATTTGTCTTCGAAGCTTTTTTTAATCGTTAATTAAATGCTTCTGAAAAATTGCCGATTTTATACGAGACTTTGCTACCCACAGATGTAGGTGATCCCTGAAAGTATACACCTACTAGGATTTGCAAAATATTCCGTTAAAAGGTTGGCTGATAGTTCTTGTACATGCATTAGTAGGTGATTAATCCAAATTAAAAGCAGAAGAAATCATTTATCACATCAAATTAAAATGCACCTGTTATACACAGTCAAAAATGTAAAGAATGAATGCATCAATCAATTACACATGTAGTATGTAGCATAGATCTACCATGCCAGTTATCATAATAAGGTTATTTATGAATTTTGATGTTATCGCAAAGATTCTTTCTTTATACAAATAAATAATATATAGAATGCAGTCTATTTCTATGTTTTTCAATTGTCCCACAGTATATGTGTGACTGTTTCATGTAAATTTGAGCACTGGTGGTTATTTCAATGAATTCTATTCATGTGCAAAATTAGCTAATTGATTGTTCAAGTTTTTTTCCCAAACCTAATCAGATCTTGCAAATGTTCCATAGTATATGTCTGCTCAGTTTCATCTGATTCTGATCACTGATTCGTGAGGTATCATGTTTTGAGTTTTGCTGCACAGACAGACGAACGAACAGACAGCATCAAAACATAAGCTCCCATTGGCTGCCAATGAGTTAAAAATAAAAAAGTAACACCTACATTTTATTTTTGTTTTCAGTATTACCAGAAACACACAACTTGCTTTATTTCGCCTTACGCAAATTAAGTAATCAATAATATTTGAAGTAGAAAGCAGGTAATCAGGTCACCTACATTTGTAACATATGCTCACATGACATACAGTGACACCACTACATTACATAATTGAAATGAATGACACAGTGACAAGGTTATTTACACACCCTCACAAACCCCTGTAGGGCAAGTCAAACATTTACATAATATCAACTTACCCAGGTTCCTTGCCTTCAAAATTATATAAACCCCTTGCACATGGTTTATTGGTATTTTCCTGGAATAAAAATTAATAAATATTTAAACGAAAAAGGACAGGATGTTTTGTCTGAGTCGTTCTATTCAAAGTTTGAATTATATGACGAGGCTTTATTTTCACAGCCCAATTAGCAACTTATCGGTGTCTTACAATGTATGTGATCATGTAGTTATCCAAACTATGCAATAAATTCAGCTCAGCCCTACCAGTAATAATAGGATAAAACTGTGTGACTTGTGTGGAGGGGCGAACCAAACTGTGACAGTGTGTGTACTGAAAAATACTAAATATTTTCCCTTGGAATTAATTTTTGTTGAAGGGATGATTCAGTAAAAATCCAGCGAATATACCTTTTTTCGTATATTTTACATTCAATTTGTCAAAAATCAGTGAAAAGAAATTCCATACAAAACACCCAAAAAGTATTTTCATCGAAAATTAATTAATTCCAGCTAAGATAAAGTAATCTACAGTACCGGTATATGCATAAAGTGCTCAATACTAGTACGTCAGAACAGAACAGAACAGAGCAGAGCAGAATAATATTATTTTACATTCAAACGTAAATGTATATCACCATGGGAACTGTTTATTAAAAATAAAAACATCAAACTAATGACTTTTTTTTTCATTTTCAGTGTTTCCCCATAATAAGCAAATTCAGCTGAGAAATATTGTGTTTTCATTTAAAATACACCATGTGTATTTGAGGAGAAAATGCATGAACTCTGGTGAAGGGAATGTTTCTCAGTGTGCCCAATTTCACCAAGAAACATTACCACCTGACTGCGAAAATTTCTCAAAAAAAATTAAAGCTTAAAAGAAAATGTTGATTCATGAAAATTATTAATAATTCACCATTAATTTCTAAATTGCATAAATTAAATAAATGGACAAAGAACTAATCAACAAAATATTAGGAATGTATTTAATGATATGTTAAATGGTTTTATCAGAGATCATGTATGTACCACTAAATGCATTTGCTTTTCATTGACAGAATGTAACAGTTTGGATCATGTTTCACGTCCTATTCAAACTACTACACTTTACAACTACGCTGTGTATCAAAACACTGACAGTCATGGGACTGACAAGTCCCTTTTGTCCATGCGCTAATACTAGTACTATTCTGCCAATTTAAATTTAGTTCTCTACCATTTACAATCCGACTTGTAAAAGATTTTGAAATACCAGTACAAGCATGTGGTCCCTTCTTGAGGGGAAAAAATCATTAGTAATCAATGTCTGTCTTTAGCTCAGCAGTATTCTATAAAATACATGGCAAGTTAAATCACGAATAAGGTCGGCATGACCTGAATCAAACTATGAACCATGAGTCACACTAGGTGAGTGCTTTAAGTCAGGGACTGTATTGACCATAAATTCCACTTCCCAGGCCCACACAATTTGTGGGTAAACGTGTATAAAGGTTCTAATACTGAGACCAGCCTGAGTTTGAAATATTTGGGTGCACAAGCTGTGCATGTATTGTAGATGTGAAAACTGAGTGCATGCCATGTATGCAAGATTTTTTCAAAATTTAAGACAATATAATTGCTAAATATATATAAAGTCAATGATAAAAAAAACTATTCGGCAACTCAACAGAAAAGTCAAAATACATGTGGTATGTGTCCACTAAGTGTCAGTTGCAAATCCAGAAGTCACTGAAGTCAAGGACACGTACAGCAATGTAATGACAGTGGATGTAATTTATCTGTGGTTTGATCACACATGGACCACCATATAATCACAGAAATGCACAGTGGTAATTCTTTAAAAAAAACAAAAAACATGCAGATCCATGCATGCTGGAAACACATTTTATTTCAATTCGGTATCCGAGATGGGCTACGAATCAAATGAATACTGAAACAAAACTTCCTTCTCGCAAACATTAGCTAGCAAACCCCCACTGTCAAAAGAAAACTTCACGATTTGATGGTAATCACAGGGACTATAAATTCCATGAATGTCAACATGACTCCCTGTCTAACATAACCCAGTTAACTCTATACTGCTAGACAAGTTCATGATATTCTTTCCTTGAAATATGAGAAAATTTGTCTCCATAAAAACAAAAGGCAAATTCTGTAATGATAAAATATATTGCTCCCCACAGCGTCTGTAACGAATTGTGACAGGACAATGTTTTTCTGTAATTTATAGCAAGCTGATATAACACCATTGACCATATATTACATGTATAATAATAATAATAGTGATATCACCAGCTTACATATGGGTCACATATCCTAAGTGAGAAGCAGTCATTTTTATTATACATGTACCCCAGCATACATGTTGTATTTATTGGACATTAATTTTACTATTTTCAATTATAAATCAATTCCATTCCACATGAAAATGTCAATTTAAAAATCCCACTGGAAAATTCATAAACCCTGTCAATGTACTTAATATAGTGAAATAAAATAATAGTGAAAACTAAAGCTTTTACAGAATTATTTCTCTGATTCATGTCTAAAACAACAAATTTTGGGCCCTAGTCATGGTTGTTCAACGTACAATGCAAAATCTTATGGGCTCAGTTCAGTTACTGATTCAAATTCAAAGAGAAAGAAAATAAAACTATTTCACTTTTAATAAAGATATAAGCTGAAATGTGAGAGAGGAAATCTTTCTAGGAAATCAAGTCTCCTGAACACACTTGTTTTCTCAGGAGCCTTTCAAAAAAATCAGTCACCACATTGGATTTTTGTTTTAATTTCAAAAGACCAAATTAAAAGATAATCTGATATATTAAATGTAAATTTGACAAAAAACACACATTGCTTGAACTTTTGTGGTTTAAATCAGGAGTCTTGAAAAAATGTAGATTTTGTCAAGTTATAAACCATTTGTGGCATGAGAGACTCTATTTACCGGTAGGTATTCTTGTGAATACCGGTACCATTCAAATTAGTGAGTTTTTGGAATAAGTGAAAAGTAGCTCATACATGTAATTCAAATTTATTCTACATGTACCAGCCAACTCTTTGGTATTACCATACCACCTGCTGACACCGTATTTTCAGCAGGCAATGCATTGAATAGTGTACATTGCAAATCTAAAAAATACACCACCAACAATTCAACTCGACCTCAACTACCTTGACCTATATGTAATAAATATATTTGGCTTTGGAGTATATGTATGTATAAAATTTCAAGGTTTTTTTCTACACATGTATGGTTACTTTGACCAATACTTATGTGAGAGTGCATCCAAATATACAAATAGAGGGAATCTATTGATATGCCAGCAAGGGCTTATAGAAGGCAACCTCATACAGTACCTTCCTAGGTTTCATAGAAAAATGGCCAGGTGGGGACACTTTCTGTGGAATGATAGCAGGGTTCTTCCCACCAGGGCATTATAGAGTAGAGGTTCGCAACTGTGAAATTTCTGATAAACAATAGAACAAATTTAGCATAACAATGAATACAATGTAAGTCATTAACATATTCTATTGTTATGTAAATTAGTCGATATTGTATGCAATTTTGCTGGAGAGAACACTGCATAGAGGTTAAAATCTCTTTTTACCTCCATGGAGAAATCAAGTTGACTGAAAGTGTTGAAGTCCGCTCAGGCAAGTTGACCATACCAGAAACTTGTAAATTCACCTTTGGGGCTATCTTTTCATTTTAATTATTTAAAGTGGTCAACATATACTGTAAAATACTTTATTTTAGCAGGAATTAATTTGCGCTGAAAAGACTTCCGTAGGGAATTTATTTTGACGAGTTGAATGTGAAATATAGGAAAACAGAAATGTTCGCTAAATTTTATTTTCACCGAATCACTCCTTCAGCGAAAATAAAGTATTTTACAGTTGTTGGACGTGCATGTTTCCTGGTTTATGTTTTTTCCCAACAATCACATTACAGTCATAATGGAAATGTCATCTGATAAGGATTACCTGTGTTTTCCCCGTTGTGGGTTGGTGATCGCTACCAGCACGACCTCCCGATCCAGTATGACCAGACCTCCCACTGGCTTGTTTACTTTTACTGCTCGGTTTCTCAGGTGGTCCTCGTTTACCGACCAAGCTACTGCTCATCCCACCCAGAAGTCGCACAAGAAGAATGTTCGCCGGTAGCTGATCAACTGAACACCGAACCAGCACTCTGCATTCTGGGCACCGCAGCTCTTTTCTGGAGTTCACAATTTCTTCTAAACAACGTTTGCAGAAAGTATGCTGACATGGTAAAACTTTACTGCTTTCGTCCAACCGTTCCAGGCAGACCGAGCACTCGAGAAGATCGTTGAGAGAGTCCTCATCCATGACGATCACTAGGCACTACTACTACTATGATGGCGGCTTTGAAACCGTTTGTAAAATGTTGTTTTTTTTTTGTAATTTAAAAAAAAATATAAAGCAACCCCCAAATTACCTCGGTTGGTTCACCCCCATTTTGGGCGATTTAGTTCTCGCCTCATAGAAAACAATTTGCCGGCAGCTCACCGGACCATTAGCTCGACTCCATGATGATCGCATTACTCACAATCCCAATGTCGACGACAGCGTCGGTTGAATCATTCTAACAGACAATGAGGGGTCTGTTTAAATGACTTTGACCAGGCTGGTGAGGCTACTCATTCAACTGCTGTGCCATATTCAGACAATTGTGGTATATCCGTCGATTCAAGGGCAGAATTTTAAAAGCGAAATAATAAACATAAATCACAACATCAACACACCAAGGTTCGCCATATTGAACCGGAAGTACCGGACCACAGCTCGGAGACCATTCACTCATCCGCGAAATCAATACGCCAGAATTGGGTGAAATAAAGTGCAGATAAGGGTGATAGCAAACACACACTATTTATGGAATGTTTAATTCGTTTGATAACTTAATGTATATTTTTTAAAGTTTCTACTCCTAGAAAGAAATGCATTTCCAATATAATACAATGAGTTAACATTATTTTATTTTTAAAAATATTTTATCCCAGATTGTAACAATAATTCTGGACAAGGATATGTACCCAGTCAGTTATACAAAAGACCTCAACAACTACAGAGGTATCACTCTAAATTCATGTGTTTCAAAAATTTACAGTAAGGTTATTGAAACAAAGTTAAGAAAATTTGTTGAAGAAAATGACATTCTGGAAGAAATTCAAGGAGGTTTTAGGGAAGATAGGAGATGTGAGGATCATGTGTTTACACTCAAAGGTATAGCGTCCTTAAGGAAATCGAGTAAGAAATCTACTTATGTAGCATTTCTTGATTTCTCAAAAGCGTTTGATAGAGTTTGGAGGGATGGTTTGCGAGTATCATTGTGAAAGCAGGAATACAAGGACAATTATGGAATATTATAGATGACATGTACGAGAATGTTTTTAATAAGGTCAATTTTAATGATATTGAGACTGAATACTTTGAAACCAGTGAAGGTGTAAAACAAGGATGCGTTTTAAGCCCCCTACTCTTCTCAATTTATATAAATGAATTTGCAAAAATGTTATTTGAATCAAAACTAGGGGTGAGGATAGGAACACAAATAATTCCAGGGCTTTTTCTGGTGCAGATGATGTAGCTT